CCCCTGGAGGGATAGCCAAGCCGCAATCCCTTCTCCTCCATTTTCCTCTTCAGAGTTTGGGCACACATACACATGTGCCTGGGGTATTTTTCAAGCTGCCAGGACCAGGACTCAAACTGTGCAGTTGGCTATGTGGGATCCAGATACCTTAACCCTACGCCACCAGCTGGCCCTCCACTTAATTAAAAAAATAAAAAAATTCAATTCTCCCTGGATCCATTCGAAACACCGACCTGGCAGTAAAGGCTTCCCAGCTCTGTATTTTTAGGAGGCAGAATGTAGAAGAAAAGCCACCATGGGCTTATTGATGTGTCAGAGAGGCTTCGAAGAGTCTGGGAGCAATAGATCATCAGACATAAATCATCGGACGGACAGTGTGGGGTGGGGTACGGGCAGGGAGATGCACCACAGACAGAGGAAACCGGGCATGCAAAAGCAATGGGCCGCGAAACTGCAGGGCGCGTGCTGCAATCTGCAGGTGGGGCCTTTCATGAAGGGCTAGAAGGAAAGCTGAGGGGACAGCAGAACAGGCAGACCCCAGTAGGACCATGTAAGGCCCCATCGCACATGCTGGCCTGCGTAGACCTTATCCTATAGGGTTGTTTCTTTGTTTTGTTTTTTAAAATTATGGTAACATACACTTAACATAAAGGAACATCTTAACCATTTCTGAAGTGCAGCATTTAGTGCATTTACAACGGCTGTGCAGCTACTGCCACTGCACTTGCAGAATGTTCTCATCACCCCAAAGGAAACCCACGTATTTACTAGTCACTTCCCATTCTGCTTTTCTTCCCAGCCCCTGGCAATCACTAATCTGCTTTCCGTCTCTACGGATTTGCCCATTCTGAATATATCCTAGAGGATGTTAAGCATGGTACAGACACACTCGGATTTGCATTACAGGAAGATGGCTCTAACAAGGAGGCTGATGTGGAAAGGAGTGATACTGGAGAAAGGAGGCAAATTAGAAGATTACTGGATCAGATAAGAGATGATACAAACGTGAAAGAAGAGGATATTGGGGTGGGACCACTAAATGGGTGATTAATCAGATAGAAAGGATGTGAGAATTATACATACACACACACACACACACACACACACACACACACACACACACACACACACACACACACACACACACACACACACACACACACACACACACACACACACACACACACTCCAATTCAGGCTTCTAACTTGAACAGATTTGCAAGGGGGATGGTGCTAGTAACCTGGAAAAGGGAAAAGAGGCTAGTGAGAGAAGCAGTTGGCTGAGGGGGGCAATGCAGGACAGATTTTTTGGTTCCTGTTTTCCACTACAGAGTGATACATATGCTCAAGACATTCTTGCTTGTTACGGTTTCTGATTTACACTATAATTTTTTTTTACTATTTTTATTCTACTCCACATTTACTAAATCTTACCTTTTAGCTCTCAGACACTAACTATAAATAGAAATAAAATATACATTCAAGTATAAAACGTTACAAAGAAAAAGTACTTAGGAATGAGAATTAAAAAGCAAGCCAGAGCTCGTTAGCAGACACTAAGAGCTTGTGAGTTAACA